CCAGCCCTCTGCATGGGCCAGGCCCCTCCAACCTCTGTGTGTGGCTCTGCTTCCTCAGCAGGCTTGTCAGGGGGGCTGGGGCGAAGCAGCGTCTCGTCGGGAACCAGTGAAATAAAGAGAGAAGAGAAGGAGGATGAAGAGAACACATCGGTGGCAGATAACTCAGAAGAGGATAAGAAGGAGCTGAAACCCTCCCGGAACAGAACAAGGTGCTCTTTGAACAGGTCTCTCCCTTCACTTACTCTGTTACCAGGCTGGGGGCGTTTGGGCTGGGGGATGTCTGCGGTGACCCCCCAGGCTCTGGGCTCAGCCCAGTGAGGCCGGGGGTGGTCCTGCGGCGCAGACCTGCCAGCCCCTGCCCACCGTGGGAGCCCCATGCTGGGGAAGGGTCCCTGCAACCCTCTCCTGCTGGCTCCCGTCCCTGTGGTGGCCACAGGGCTTCCTCATGCTCGTAAAGCAGAGGGCTTGCACCTTATCCACACGAGCTGCACCCCCCTGCATGGTCTCTCAGGGCGTTGCTTGCGGCCGTGCACAGAAAGGACCGAGGGCTCAGCTCCCCTTGGCCAGGGCTGGGGAAGGTTTCGGCCTCCTCCCTGCTTCAGGTCGTCTCTGCCGCCTGCTTCGAGCTCCTGTATCCTCTGTCACATCCAACCACACATGTGGCAGTGGATCAGGTCGAGCCCTTCCAGCGTGCTGGCTTGTCTGCAACCTCTCCACCAGCTCGGAGACCTCACCAGGGTGCTGGTGCCTAGAGGGGCAGCGCCAGCCCCGCTCCTGCCAGGCTGCAGCCACCTCCTGCCCGAGGAGCTCTTCCCAAAACGCCACCTTGGGACACCACTGTTGGCCCCACACCTTCTCCGGGCCGCCCTGCGACCTCCTGGCGACGAGCTCAGGCCTTAATCGCGTTGTGGTTTCTCTCTTTGTGGTTTGAAACGGGGCTGAGGCCCTTCTCTCCAGAGCCGCTGCGTGTCCCTGCCGGGGGCTGGGCCGCTCGGCGCCTGGGCATGTCTTTTCTTTTTCTGTGAGTTGACCAGTGCTGAGAGTGCACGCGAGGAATGTCCCTGTCTCGTTCTTATTTTAAACCATTAGTCAAGATGAGGATGAGGAGGACGATCTTCTTCCCCCAGAGCAAAAAGCCGAGAGAGAGAGAGAAAGGAGGGTCGCCAATAATGCCCGTGAGCGCCTGCGGGTCCGTGACATCAACGAGGCCTTTAAAGAGCTCGGACGCATGTGCCAACTGCACCTAAACAGCGAAAAACCTCAGACCAAACTGCTAATCCTCCACCAGGCCGTATCAGTCATACTGAACCTGGAGCAACAAGTTCGAGGTCAGTGAGGGGCCCGGAGTGGTGATATTTTACGTACCTGATCGGCACGGGGCTGTCTGTCTGTCTGTCTCCTGTGACATGTGCTGTGGCACCTTGCGCTGTCTTTCTCCCCCCTGGGGCCTTGAGTTCCCGAGGCTGTTGGTGTCTTTTTTTATTTTTTTTTTCCTTTTTTTTTTTT